ACCATTAGGACATATTCGGCACATGGTTCACACGAAGTCACGTGTATGGCCTTCCCGTGAAACCTATCGGAAACATAACTGAAGCATATACATCATGATGCCTCATTTAAATTAACGGAGCAGGTCAAGTGGAAAGTGTCTTAAGCCTGACATAACAACATACGACTGACCTGACCAAGCGGTGCTAAAGGTATCTGAGGAGGGTTGCCGTAATATATGAGGTGGTGCAGGACAAAATTCTACACTGGAAGGGTTGAAACGCAGATGAGAAAAGATACGTGACAATCGTCATTTTGATGCATGCGACAAGCGATCCCCCGCCATCATTTCCGTCAAATGACCTCAATGACAGGTAGCCAGAATAAAACCATGTATCATCACCACCACCACACAGAAATGATGGTTGTTGAGGATGGTCGATGAGAAGAGCGCAAAATTTCAGATACGTGCGATTTCACATTTATGTGTGAGTCCCTTACTACCCCGGTATGCATTTCCCTAGGCGGCAGTCTCTTGCCACAGCATCGTCAACTCATATTAAAGTACTGTTTACCACTCCAAACTGCAATGACATGTTTATTTCTCTCAACCATCGTTGACACTCTCACCACACTCTTCGATAACGGATTAGGTTGTTTAACGTCACGCGATTTACTATTGTATGATATGGATCGAATTTCATGCCACGTGTCTTTGCAGCCTGTTCCTTGTCAACCACGATATATTGTCCACTCCTGCACGCTCCTGTCATACGCATTTGTATCCTCTTCCACACCGACTACAAGAACTGTCTATCATTACCCCCAGGCCTGTTGACCTGTGACCCGGGCATTTCAGCACTAATGAGTGTTTGCAAGGGTGACGCACGAGAGGAAATTCACATGTAAGGGTTGAATTACGCTTTTTCATCGAAAGCTAATCACTAACTGGGTTGGAACTGGATAACGGTTATATTTACAATATGTCAGTTACAAAAAGCAATACAAACCACAGCAATTCGGCTTCCAGCACCAATAGGAAAACGATAACGACCTATTCACCTTAAAAGCCAACAATTAAAGTTTCAAACGGCTACCGCACAAGTGATTGGGCTCCACGAGGCGTACTTATACGATACGGGAACCAATGGCTCTGGATAGCCACACTAATGCCGAAGCGCCTTGCTGTTTATCCGTGAGAACAAGATCACTGCATGTATTTCCCGCAGACTAACCTGGAAGCCATCTGAGGTGGCCAGACATGTCAGTTTGGCTCGACACACAACCGTGTCATATGGGAAATGAACAGCAACCTTCGGCGTATCGAAGGTGTTATGAGACATTATAGGGTTAAGCTTGCCAGGGGACAATACATTCATGGATGTTCCTGGGGTACGCACGACAACGTTGGGAGTAGAGAGGGTGAGAGGCGACACCTAAATGTCAAACGTGGCAGGGGGCGTCGGGCGCTGATGCTTAAGCCTATCCAAACAGATTGGGTTCATGGAAGGACACTGTCATAAAATACATTAGTGCGAGGGCTGTGAGTACATTTGAATTTAAGTCCCAAAGGGTATGGTTCAGTTGTGGCAATGTGACAGGGTCGAAATCGGGAGACACACTGAAGGTTGGGGCAAAGGGTGACACAATTTGTTCCACGAGTAGTACCGGTCGGATATCCGCTCTCAATGGCCCGTCGTTATATTCCACAGCTTCCGTGAAGCAAGATGACATACATTCATGCTGCAGCTTGAAGCCCGTAGACCACACGAATAGGCTATACCAAAACGGACTGCTCATGCTTTGAGCGTTAAAACGCAACTTCTACACTTGACCTGAAAGGTTTGCCACTCGCGTCTTCTCTTCCCTCATAAATCTATTGGTAGGAAACGGTTCGTTCGCCTGCCGTTCGATCCATTCGAGACGAGGCACAGAGTTGAAGCAGGTATAGCTTGTCGCTGCCGACATCTTTCCCAGTTTTCGTGGTTGTGCTCTAAGAGAATCTGGGATAAAGATCAGGTAGATGCATCCTGTCTGATCCTCTGTTTCAATGTGATCTACCGGCTGGTTGCCGAATTATTTACACCTGCCTTGTACTCCGGAGGTCACTGGTCCGAGTCCGAGCAAGTGCGAGCGGTATCGCGGTCCACGCGGCTGTGTCACGTGGCGACGAGGAGTCGGCACGTTGTGCAGACGTACTGTTGATGCTTTTATAAAAAGCGACCGGTAGATCGGTGAATGCTAGCGCAGGAAAGGTGGTCGGTAATTTGTTGACCTGGGTGTATTTTGGGGTGTTTCGTCTTAGATCAAGATATTTGAACACCCTAGATCGACGATCTGCCCAAGAATAGACATTAACGGGATTCTCTTATCATTCCACTCCCACTAGGTGAATTCCTCCCGTAGTTCACCTGCGGACACCATGCAGCACAGGCGGACAACGATAAGGCTTGTGACGGCGGAGAAGGAGAAATTTGCTTCCCTTCTGTGTTTCGGAAGGGAAGTGATCAAGGTGTAGAATAGCTGCTAGAACATGTCTCTGTGGCCAATTCAAACAGTGCTGGATTTACAGTTCTCCGCTGTGCTACTCAGCCAGCAATTGCCCACTTGATATTTGTTGACCCTGTGTTAATGTGAGTCGAAGATGTTATTCGAACTAACAAGTGAAATTGGGACAGATTCGAGTTTCGATAGGTGTCGTAGATGCTGTCATCGAAGCTTTACTGGTTAGTAGATAATGAAGTTGTGGAGATGTACATTTCTACTTATTTCCTCAAAGCAGGACTCAGTACCCGTATAGACTAACATTTTTTTAAATCGACGCTGACTCAAGACCTTTATCCCCTATGTGTTAGCATGTAAGATAAGCGCTGGACAAATTAGTTAGATAACCTGTGGCACGGTGTGTCAAGCTATGAGTTAGAGAAACCACGGAACGATAAACCAGGTTAGCCATGGAAGTCCTTTTTGAACCCGCCGGCAACGCAGATGAAGTTTAGTGTGATTCAAAACGGAGGGCAGCGCGAATGTGTGTAGAGTCATGCCAACAAGCACACGCATACGAAACACATATGAATGTCTTTTGTTTCTCTGGGAGCATGGTAGGACTAAATAATCCAAAAACAGTTTACTATCGTGCCAAAACTGTAGAAATTCTCGGCCCTCTCCAAGTGTGAAGCGAGGCACAGCTGTTAACACTGATGAGTCTGTGCTTGGCTCTGGCTCATATATTAGCTTTCAGTTCCGTATAATTAGCACCAGCCAGCAAGATTCGTTAATTGCATTAAAGGTTGCAGTAGCTGTCTTCAAAAGATAGAAAGTGAAATAAGCCATCTGCGTGTCAGAATTGAAATAGGGATGGAATAGTCAGACGGACTGTGCGCCCCCTTTAATAGGCTAAGGTTTCTCTTGGGTTTCATTAATATTTCGTGACTATATACCTTGATCACTTATCGGGTCGATGTACACCACAATCAATTACATTTTACTGGTTACAATGGACAGTGAACAATGCTTTTCTACGAGTTAAGCAGCATTTCGTTACAATCCCACTTAGGTGGTCTAGTGAGTAATCGCAAACGTTAATGAAGTCATGAAGTTAGTAGTTCAATTGTCAACAGAATAGACTTATGTTATGAAATGTAGTATGCCTGCACTCCGAGTATTGCTATAGCTTCATTAGATGAAAAAATAAATCCAAGGCTTTTCGCAACAGTAAGATGGAGAATATAGCGTCAAGCAACATAATATGTGACGGAGTGCGTCATCCAACCGACTTTTACATATGGATAGTGTAGATGCGAAACATTTGATTCGGGAGAACTTATCATGGTTGACACACATGAATGGAAAAGGAAATTCTACCGCACTCCAGACGGCTGTATGGTTCTGCTAATTTCAAGAAGTGGGCTTTTAGTTCGGTGTTACTGCTGAGTTGCAGTAAAGAGCGGCACACATGATTTGGATTATGTAAAATCAAATGCATCATAAGCAAGTCGCCTCGCAGTTGGCGCTACCGTCCGCTGAATACTCCCAAACGTTTCACCCTCTGCTCATGTGGAAGGTGACGCATTTCAGTAACCTATTTAGAAACCCGACATTGAGGTTGGTCCAGTTCAGTAAGGTCGTGCTTTCGCTATGGCTGCCACACTTGAATTGCCTATTCGACTTGGGTATGAACATACGCATTGACCAACTGTCTGAAAATAGTGGTGTCTAGTTGTCTGAATGCCCATGGTCGCAATCCGACGTGCTGGTTACCAGTTTTCGAGGCCTTTGCGGATTGTTTGAAACAATGCAAGCTATCCTGAACAAAGACGCCGAGGGCTCCTTCGAGGGATGATCGCTGCAGTACTTGCGTTCCTAGCTTGTGTCGTATGGAGAGTACTCTGATTTTGTCTACGTTGAACTGTAGCAGATTCTGGGTTGACCACTCTGCCTGAATCTTGCGCCATATCTTGATATATTCCGTAAACAGTAGAAAATTCGAAGTGATTGTCCGTGCAAGTTCATTGATGAATACCAAAAACAATCGTGGCTCTAGAACTGTGCCCTGGGGCACATCCGACTTGACTGGTTTGGGGTCAGATAAAGAACGCCGAATTCTCACCACTAATCGTCGTTGCAAGAGAAAGTGATCCAGCTCAATAGATGGATACTGTTCACGTAATATTGGGGCTTAGAAAGCAGAATTCGATGATCTAGAAAGACCAAATGCCTAGGATAAATCCAAGTAGATCCCATCAATGGCGTCTCCAGTGTCAGATGACTCAGTACAACTACTTCGTGCGATTAATAAATTCGTTGTGCACGATCGCTTTCGACAAAAGCCGTGTTGCTCGGAAGCAATAAGGTTACAATTTTCTAAATAACACACAAACGTGTCGGCAAAGAGATGTTCCATGACCTCGGACACCACAGGGAAAAGAGACACTTGGCAGTAGAGTGACATCTGAGTCCTGCTTATGCATTTGTGAATCTGAGTTATTATTCTAGCACTGTGTATTCCTTTATCTTTTATAGGCGCTCGCACTCGCATGGGAACAACAGAGTGCGAAGAGTGACTGCTCATATGCGCAAACAATCCCCATTCCAGTGAGTTGGTCAATTCACTAGACCGGATTTTTGAACAATGAACAATGATGTCTAATGGGCAAAAAAGCATTGCTTGTCAAGTCCCGTAAGATGACCGGAATGAGTATTATGAACTGATTTTTTAACTTGACTTAGTTACATTAACGTCTTGTGGTCTACTTACGAGTATATAACGGAGAAGTCTAGTAAACACACTGTTTGCGTTAAAAAGTCCTTCAATGGAAACAGTCCATAGCGCGTAATGTAAATTGGATAGATTGTGGCTCAAACGTTTTTAAAATGCCTTAGTGTGTGGGCGAAAAGAACTTGAGCAGGAAGGGCGTTTCATGGCCTGGATACCGGACGGGAGAAAATGTTTTGTTGACAATCAACTTGCTGATGATGTGTGGACAGTCTGAGCTGGTGGCCTCTCAGATTGTCATTGTGGCTGACGTGCAACAGATCGCGACAGGCGTGATTAGGGTTAGTTAGTATTTGGTACAGCATAATAAGGTCGCCTCCAGTGCGCTACTATTTGCGGCTGTAGAAGTCTAGGGCTTGCAGTTTGCGTTGATAGGAGAGGGAAAACAGCCTTCTAACGATTCTCGTCGCTCTACCTTGTGGAGCTTCGAGCACAGCAACAGCATGCTTGCACCAAGGTCGCCAGACCTGAATCGCGTATTCCACGTGGGGCCTCATGTAAGCTTGCAGTATTTGTGCAAAGATTTCTGGTTCCAAATTCCCGAATGCCCTTCACGGGAGGTCAGGGTGCTGACTGGCTCTTCTCGATGTCTTCTAGGCCTGTTTCGAGCAACCAAGGTCGTCCTACACGATTACTGCTAGGTTGCTCTCCTGCGTAGCTTTTTGCAGTAACAGCTCTCCCAATCGATATTCATGAGTACACTAATGGCGTATGCTCAGAACTTTGCATTTCGCCAGGTTAAACCGAATTCGCTTTTCGGATGATCATGTGTAGGCTCTGTCGAGATCACTTTGTAGTTCCGCTTGGTCGCTCACTGTATCTCCTGCTATATCTTGACGTCGTCTGTAAATTGTAAGTAGCCCCTGACTGGATCATCCTAGCACGATCTTTGATTAATACTAGAAACAAACATTGTCGCATTACTTATCCTTGGGGCAAACCGCACTGGACTTCAATTGAGTCGGAGATGAATCTACCGATCTTCTCATCAGCTGACGATGAATGTGAAACTTACTTATCCATCCTAACACAGGGTCACCAAATCCATAGCTTTGATATGCATGAAAAGAATTCCGTGGTCCAAGCAACCGAATGCTTTAGAGAAGTCAAGGTATACGACATCAACTTTTTTGTCTGGTATCGGCTGACTTCGTCTATCTTGCTCGGGCTAGTAACAGTTTTGTAGTGCAAGACAGATTTCGGTGGAATCCTTGCTGTTGTGGCACTATAATATTGTTGCTCTCAAGTTATTCCATGAGCGTCTTTGCGATTATTCCTTCCATAACTGGATAACACTGGGAGGAGGGTGATTGGACGGTCAGGTCAGGTCAGTTTAGGTTCCAAGTACGAAATACGCTCCTGCCTAACGAGCGTCCTGTTTCTTATACCGGCAAGCAAACGAGGGCCTCCAGTACCTAGAGCTTTGGGTTGTTTCCCTAGCTTCTGCAGAGGAATGAAGCAAGAACAAGAGCAACCCGCGTGCTTCTTGGGACATAGACTACGAACTCTGAAAAATGCTACTACACTTACAATCATTCTGGAAAAAGACCTAACCAACACTTATCCAAACACTTTTAGAAGGCTTCTACCTTGATGCTTCCAATCAAACCAGAAGGAACCTTGTTCCAACTATGAATTACGTCATCGCAAAATGTTGGCCTCAAGTTCTATCCGAGACCACTGGTGCTTAGGGTTAAATCCAAGTATCTGCAGGTGGTCGGAGGTAGCTGCTTTAAACAGGTCGGAGGACCTGATACCACTGAGGCACGACATAATTTTACACCTCTTTATCAGGTCGTCTCACTCTGCACCGTTCCATGGAAAACAACCCTAAGCTCTTAAGGCGCTCATCATATGACTTGCCATGCTGGCCCTCAATCATACTAGTCGCCAGTTTCCGGATCTTTTCTACGCAAGCCACATCCTTCCGGAGATACAGTGCCCAACCCTGCAGACAATATTCTAAGTGAGGCTGTAACCCTGCATTATATGCGGGAACAAAAACCTCAGGTTTAGTGTCGCACAACGCTCTGCTAAGACGGAATTGCTTTTGCTGCACCTAACTGGCTACGTGCTGACATGGTGCTGATGGTTTTAATTTATTACTCACAATGGTACCCAGATCACCTGCTCCATCAACGCAACCAAGCCTCAAGGTACGGGCTAGCAGTTTGTACGGTAACCTCTTCGATGCTGAAGGATAATAGTTGACATTTTTCTGGCGTTAGGAGGTAAGTCCCGCAAGGACAACCACTACGCCACAGTACACACGTCTTTCGATAGCGTGCTTCGATTACCTCTATTTAAGAGTTTAACATTGTCCGCAAAGGCATAGCATGAGTTCTCAAGAAGAAAAGCTGCGTCGTATTTGTACACAAGGTACAATGGCTGGCCTAGAACAGAACCCTGAGCAACAACACTGTGAGCCAGGCCTGTGCTTGTGCGGGAATCACGAACTATAACACAGGAGATCCACCTGCAAAAAATTCTGATATCCAATTCAACAAGTGGGTATGTATCCCAAACCTTATCAGGTTTTTTAACAAGAAACGTGGGTTTACGAAGTCAAAACATTGCTTTAGTCTAACTAGCAAACTTCCATTGCAACGCCTGATTGAGACAGAGGGTTATCTTATCCAAAAAGCACAGCAGATTAGTAAGGCATGTTTTTCGTTTGACGAAGCCATGCTGCTCCGCCCCTAACAACTTATGAGCGACTAAGTACCCACTAATTCGGTTCCTGATAAGCTTTTCAGGCATTTAAGCATAACACTAGTGAGACTGACAAGCCCACAGTTGACAGGAACAGATTTAGTGCCCCCTTCTTGTATTGCTATAACAACTGCCTTCTTCCATTCTTGGGGCAGGCTACCAGTCGTAATGACATGTTGAGTGGTTCCACGACAGGAAAGTGGAGTATTTTGCCCAACCGCTTATGAATGGCAGAATTATCAGGTCCAGTCGATTTCTAGGGGTCCAAGTTTGCCAAGACATCAATTACCTCTGACGCTGTTAATGGATCATTTGGGATCATAGTCCCAATTTGACGATGGAGATGCGATCAGGTAGGACACTCGTTATCCGCAATATATGCGTCCTGAATGATGCATAGCAACACCAGTGCTTTCGCTGCATCCTCTGTAGTATGCGTACCGTAATCCATTATTAAGTTACTAACCCCCCTCTGTCAAACAAGCCTTCACTAAACATCACTGTAATACATCTCCGGTTTTGCTTTGTATTCCGAGCTAACCTAAGCTCATAGCTTTAATTAGCATGGCATGGCAATTAGACCACCAAGTTCCTGCACTTTCATAATGTACCCAACAATTAAACCCTTCGGACTACAGCAACTTTCTCCGGAAATTGCTGCACCTCTATCGCACGAGCAATTCCCCGATGCCACCAGCGGGGTTTACTGATGTTTCCTGCGACGCAACGAAATGAACTCCTAGGGAAGCTAAACAAGCTTATTTTTGCTTACACTGCCTGGTCGCTTTAATGTAGTGTGTGCTTGCTCGGGGATCCAGTTGATTTGTAGCGATGTCCGGTAAGCGATTAAGGCTGATACGGTCGAAGATCGTCACCGGTCGAGATGTTGTCTGGAACCTCACAGCATTCAGTGAGAAGGTTAGAACGCAGTACCCACTCTTACCTCTGGCAGCGTCTGCATGTAGTTCTGATAAGTAACAATCTCTTCTTATTACGACATTTAAGGTCGAACGTGAGCAACCAATGCGTCTTCGCGTCGGAAAGCTCACGTTCTGAACAAAGGTATTCACGTGAACCCATTCCAATAGTTCCTCCTCAATTGCATCTACGATGCTAGTAGCTTTTTCTCAATCAGCAGGTAGGAGGTACAGATCCCCGATACTCCCAAGGTTCGGTGAAGCTAGCACTGCATGCTAAGTTCCCTACCCTTGCTTCTCGTATAAAAGGGACTACAGTACACACAAATAATCATCAAAAACTGGCACTCCAAGCTTGGGAAGTACGAGACAATTTGAATATTCCATGTCCTCATGGATAAGTGGGTCACTCCATTTCTATAGCGGCTCTTTAAGAGAAAAGATATACCCCATTCCGTACTCGGCGAACGCTTTCAATATGTCACTGACTGCATCAGTGTGAGAAAACCGCCTTCGTAACTGCAAGTAAATCAGCTAGCTTGCAGCTTACCATCGATTCTTTCCATTTATTCCTTTAGCTGCAGCAAATGGTAAGCCATACTCTTAACGTCCTTAGATTTTCCTTCCTTTTCGCTACAGTTGTCTTACATTTTCCCTCGGGTGGAAAACCCGAGGGGATAGCCCGATTTTTGAACCGTTTTTATGGCACTGTCCAAAACAGTTGAGATCGGTGAAGCAGAAATAGTTACTCGTAAACCATGACACAACATTTCTAGATTTCTCAGCTTTGATGTGCTCTCTGTTATAGCAGGGCTGTCAACCATCCTATTCAGTATCGTCTGAGTAGGACCAGTTACGTTACGGGTTGCAGTACCAATGTGACCACTCCGCGCATTTGTACGAACGCATCTGCCTCAGTCCAAGGTACGCCTGCGTTTAGCCGCTATGATACTGTCCATCACTGCGGATGCTGAAGCTACCGTTGTCGAGGCTGCAACTTCAGACGATTTTGATCGTCGGCACTTTATTAAGGAGGTTCCGCTGCATTCCCACTCTTGAAAATAGGGTGGCTGTTCCCTGTTTCTACATAGTCTGAATCTGCATTTCCTTAAGGCTTTGTTGGAAGAACCGGCACAATCGTTTGGCAAGGTACTTGGCTACTGTTTTAATGCCATCGGTGTGATATGGTC